GAGTAAAAAAGTTGTTTGAGAACAGCTTGTATTTTGCTCTTCTTCCAATAATGGCTGGATTCTACTTTCATTGTTGATTTCTTCATAACACAACAGATAATCACACAGAAGGCACAGGTATCGATACAGCCTAGACATGATCAAATACCTCATAGGGTAGGTTTTTTACTGGGTTTGAAGGCTTGAGACTGTCTATAGGCTTGTGGGATAACTTGGTCAATCTGAATAATGAGTTCATAAAAACAATGTTTCATATTCTAGTTTAGTGAGTAGCATCTAGGGCCTTAAAAATCTCATAAGAAGAAATATTCTGTAAGACCATCATTGTGAAAATAAAAAGATAACAGCAAAATGAGTGTAAATGTATAAAAGGATAAGAGGAAAAGGAGAAGCGAGTGGAAAAATGGGGAGGGGAAAATCACCAGGATAGGAGAAGTTAGGCAACAGGTGGGGGGGTGAGGGGGCGGTGCAGAGATGGAGAAGGAATAGGAAAGATTCAATGGCAACTTGAAAATACAGAGTGATAACAGATATGCTGTTGTTGTGTAGCACTGAGTTGGTATCAACTCCTATTTGACCCTCCAGCAGGTTTGCAGGGGCAGTAAATTATATGGGAAGAGAATGCTCATCCTTCTCCTACAGAGCAGCTGGTGGACTTGAACCATATGTCTTTGGTATGGCAAAGCAGCTCCTTACTACTAGGCTATGGATAATAGATATAAAAGAATAGTGATTGATTACATAAAATATAATTTATATGAATGAAGCACAATGAAGCAAAAAGATTGTATAATACACAATGTACATGAATGAAACACAATGTATATGAATGAATGTATGAAAACAAAAATATGCGGGGAAAAAACATTTAAAACATAACTGGGTGTGTAGGAGTAAGTGAGACTGGCTCAGGATAAGGCAGAGTTCAGAGCTATTGTACGCAGGGTTGTTATGAGTGACAGTGACTTGATGCCACATAACAACAACAACAAGAACAACCATCTGTAACAAAAGAGAATGAGAGAAACCAAAGACAAAGAAAATTCTAGTTCATAGTATCAATAACCTAGGCAAACCACAGCCTCATTTATCCTGAGAATAGAATAACTACATAGTGCCTAGCTACTGACACTTAACAGTCCTGACCAAGGACACAATAAAAAATCCTGGATAAAAAGAGAGGAAAATATAGAACAAAACTCAAATTCCTAAAAAAAGTTAGATCTATTGGGCTAGTTATGATATTTGTTTACCCTTGCTGTCTGCAGGAACTGATCTATAGCAGACCTTCCAGAGGTATTTAGAGGCAGTAAAGTACATGGAAATGATTATCCATCTTTCTCCCATGGAACAATGGTGGAGTTGAGCTGTGTGTCTCTGAGTTGGCATCACATTTAATTTCCAGCAGGCCTACTGCCCTAAGATGCCATTTGAATACAGAAATGAAGCCAGTCTTGGTTGTTCACAATTCATCTGAATAATACATTCAATCATAAAACAAATACTACCTGGAAGGTATTATGCTGAGTGGAATACCTCAGTCACAAGAGGATAAATGCTGAATAACACCAGGGTTATAAAATAGAGCAGAGTTAGGACACTCAGTATAATGCTCTCCAGTCTCTCCCAATTTATGTAGTGTTTTTTGGAATTGTTGTTTCTGAGTGTTGCATAATATTCCATTGTGTGAATAGATCACATTTTCTCAATCCATTCAGTTGTAGTTGGACATTTGGGCTTAGTCTCATAAGGACACATCCTATATAAGACCATTATTATAGAAACCGGAAGGTAACTTGTACAATGTGTATGAGAATCCAAGGTTGGGAGAGTAGGAGCAGAGGTGTGGGAATGGGCAGGGGTGTAATAGAATCTTGCACTTTGATGGGTAGAAGGAGAGTGTAAAGGAAATGGGAAAGATTTGGTGTGAAAAAGCAATGTATACAAATTTTGTAAGCAAACAAGTATAAAACATTCTAACTTTAAAAAGTTATTATTTGGAAAAACAACCCCAAAAAACATAAAAAGAGTCTTTAGGATTTTCTAGTTGATACCAACTCATAGAAACTAACCTTTACCTAAAAATTCACCACAACCATATTCATTTGCTCCCATGCAGCCATTAATCACTGAAAAGGTTTTGAGCTTTTTCTTGTAGTACAATGAAAAAAGAGCTATATGCACCTGCTCTGACTGCTCTACAAATTCTTAAAGACACAGATAGGAACAGATCTTGTTCATAACCCTGGAACATTGTAGAGGCAATTTTGGGACTACACACAAGTGCTGTTCCTAATTATATCTTTAAGTCTAAGTAGTCTTTAAGTCCAATTTGTAGGTAATTTGGAATACGTGCGTATGCTTCTTATTTAGCATTATTTCTTTAGTGCAAGAAAAGGCTTGAAACCTTTTTGATGATTTAAAAGCTGCACATGCAGCAAGTGAAGGTGGTTGTGATGAAGAATTTGAAGAGTAAGAGTCAGTTCAGTCATCTCAGGAGTAATCACAATTTATAGACATCTACTTTTCTCTGGTATGTGATACTTCAAAACTTCAGAAAAGAGCCTCTGCCACTGAATTAGTCCCAATGCATAGCAACTGAGGCTGTAAATCATTTTAAGTGGAGATGACCTATGCTTCAGAGGACCAATGATGGATTCCAATAACCAACCTTTCAATTACTGTTGTTTACCTTCAAGCTAGAAATGACTCATCACAGCTGACCCTCCAGTATAGGTTTTAAATCGCACAGAAGAAGATTGTTCATCTTTCTCCTGTGGAGCAGCCAGTGAATTTGAACCATATGGTTTAGCATTGGAAGTGCAACTCCTTCCCACCAGGCTACCAGAAGCACTCGACCCACAGATGTAGTAGTAAAATTTACGAAAGAATGAACTATATGGCCATTCAACATACCAGTAATTCAAGAGATGGAAAATAGCATACCTAAAGAGGGCAAGGGGTAGAATTTTTCTTTTACTTTGTCAAAGAGAGGAGCAAACTGGGGGTGGGCCACGGAGGGGAGCTGGGCAGGGAGAAAAGTGCAACAATGAATGAATGGAAATCCAAAATCTCTGTAAATGTTCATTAAAATTATTATAATAAAATTTAAAAAAAAAAGAGGGGCAAGAGGGAATTTTGAGGGACCAATGGAATTGTTGTATATATTAACTGTGGTGGCAGTTATATTATCAAACGCTTTTGTCAAAATTTATGGTGTTGCATACCAAAAGTGAGAATTCTATTGTATATAAATCATACATTCTACTTAAAATTATGAATTTGAACTTAAAAAAGAATGAATTTTGCTTTTTTATGCTTGTAAAATGTCAAATATCTGTGGTGGTGTAACTTGCTTTTAGTATTGAGTAAATAAGAAAGAAAATTAAGTGGTCTATCTGCAAAAGAAAGATGAGCAATCTCCTCTTGTATGATTAACTGCCTCTGAAAACCTGCTGGAGGGTTAGCTGTGGGTCGGTTCCGACTCAACGGTACACAACAACAAACAACATCCAAAATAGAGTTCTATTGAAGTTCTGGTGGTCCAGTGACAAAAACCTATCCAGCAATCCCAAGGCATTGGTACAAATTTACCAGTTACTTCACGGGAGAAGGATGGGCAATATCCACCCATGTGATTTACTGACTCTGAAATCCCTCTGGAGGGTCAGCTGTGGGTCAGTTCCAACTTGATGGCATATTACAGTAACACCTATAAAACAGGGAACTCTGGTAGCCTCTTCTCTACGAAGCTGTGCTGTTAGCTCAAAGGGCACACCTCTCTGGCAGTTCGAATCCACCACCAGCTCCACAGGAAATGGGTAGTCTCCTGCGGGACCTACAGCCTCTAAAACCTGCTCAAGGATCAGCTAATAGTTCTGACTCAACAGTAAGGAGCGAGTGAGTGATCTGTAAAAGACGATGCCCTGGTCACCAAACCCAGTAGCTGCTCCATTTACAGTCTGAGACATCCAAGCAGTTCTGTTCTGTTTTACAGGGTCACTATGAGTTGGGTATACGCAGCAGTTTGGTTTTGGTTTTACACAAAAAATATTTTGTTTTTACTCTTGTATAAATAAAACTGTGTAAAATGTACAAAAATTTTAGGAAAAAAGAGTAATAATACTTCAATTTTGCTGAGAAAAACAGACTATAAAAATATAATTTCTTTTTTAACCAAATGTTAAAGAAGAAATACAAGCTGTGCTTGATATTCACAAATTACCTCACAGAAAAAACAATAACAAGCTCTGAGTTACTTCTTTTCATTTGTATGCATGAAAGCTTTAGGGAAAAATTAAGGATGGTATAATTTTTGCTGTTGTTATGAAAAAGAAAATAGAGAATCCAGTTTAAAAAAATCTACCTCCTCTTAAAGCTCACTTTGCATTTCCCCCAATTCAGGCAATGAATCTGGAAACTAAATATTTGTTTTAAGACAATTAACTCCTGGGGCATTCTGGAAAACAGTTTGCTTTTACTGCATCCTAACTTATTCACATTTTATTTTTAGTCATCTTGTTTTAACATTTTCTACAAAACATAAGGGGTAAAATAGAACTTGAGATTCACTGTGAAAGCAACTCACCTGTTTCAAGGAGAAGTAGAAAAACCCACAGCCCACCAATAAGTAGTTATTTATGAAAAGGGTCACTTAAGAGACAGCATAAATATAAATTACCATTTGTTCATACATATTTAAATATTATCTTACTTTGAAACTTCCAAGCATTTATCTTATAAACACAGGTAAACACTAGATGTCAGTTTTTTAAAACAATTTCTACCCAGTATCATCTGAACAAATCTCATTCTTTAAGAAAAGGGTGGATTTCAGTCACCGTTTTGTTTATCCAAGTTTTCCCTCATTGCTGGCTCCATCTTGGAAATTTCTCTGTACTTTGTAATTTTTAATTCTTTATCATGAGCAAGTTGGTATAATAGCTGCATGTTTATAGGTGTTTGCAAAAAATGATACCTCACAAGGAAAAGCATCTTACCACTTGTGCTGGGACTTGTTCCATTTTTGCAGCAGGAGTTCCTGGTCTCGGGTAAAACTGGTTAATAAAGAGGCTTGGAAATTTGTACTCTTCAACAAGTTTCACTGTTTCTTGAAAATCTTGATCTGTTTCTCCAGGAAAACCACAAATGATGTCTGTAGCAATAGTTATTCCAGGAACTCTAGAAAACAAGATGGCAAAAAGGCACAATGTTGACTCCAAGTCATAATTACTCGATTTCTTTGACGTTTTAAAGAGCATTATCCTATCTGAAATTAAATTTCTCTTAGAAGAAAGGGACTCTTATAAATAATTTCGAAAGAGACATAACTATTAAAAACTTTTACTTAGTGACCTATTGTTTTATCTGCAAACTTACTCACCTTTAATTCTTTTAGATGTTTCTTCATTCTTATATCCACATTCTTAAATAGATCCTAACACTGGTATTTCTACATTTATAGATGATTCAACATTTCCTGTGGTCAGATGACATCAAACTGGTACCCAACTATTGATACCTTGTGCACAGCAGAATGAACAATCCTGCATGAGCCATAGAATCTTAGTTGTGCTTGCTTTTAAGTTTACTGTGGCAACCACTATGTCACTCCATTGTGATTTTTCCTGCTTTTTGTTGTCTACTTTACCAGAAATGATGTATCTCTTTAGGGACATTCATATTATGGTAAATGAGGAGTTAGCTTTTTAAACTTCTCTCTTTTCCCCCCAACATAGTCATTG